AAGGCTCAGGATTCAAAGCTGTATGCTCAAGCAGGCTAGGAAGGCTTGTAGCTTCCTGGATACCACGCTGGCCAAATGTTTCTGGTTACATCCTAAATGTTGCCACAGGTTCTTGGAGAGTTGTGGTCTCTGCCCAGGTCCCAGGGGTCATCTCCATTTCTGCTGACTAGACAGACATGCCTCAGGTCTGTGGGTCAGCTTTTGTGCTGGGAAGCTGATCTCATAGCACAGTGGGAGATGCTTTTTTTTTTTTTCTTAGACTGGGTTTTCTTCTGTAGAAGTTGGGTCATCCAGTCCAGCATGACTAGAAAACACCATGCTTTTCAGCATGTGTGCTAGCTGCTGCTTCTCTTTGCTAACAAGTCTAGCTCACAAGAAGCAGTCACCAGGTACCCATTGGCCAAATGCTGTAGTCCTCTTGCCTGGTATACTGGTATTTTGTATTCTTGTGCTTTGCTCCTGACTGCTTTGGGGTTGTTGAGGGAAAGTCCAACTTTTGTCAGTGTGACAGAGGTCAGTATTTATCCCTCACCTGTGGCCTGGCTCCAGAATCGTTAGTGGCCATCTGCCTTAGTCTTCAGCACCGCAGGTCCTGAGGGCTGGCCACAGTCCTAGGAGCCGCAGCAAGGCGATGCTGGAAAGATGGACATGCAAGCTGCTTACAATGAAGGTATGAGTCAACAGTGCTTAATGCAGTCAGCTTTCTCGCTGTGTAATACATCACAATTTTAAATGTTTGTTTTCCTTTTTATTTTGGAAAATAGCTTTACTAGTGAGTCATGAAGCATTGCCAGTGTTCCTGTACAAGATGGCTTATAAAGAGTGGGAACATCAGCATCGTGGTGCGGTCTGCAGTAATTCACACACCCACTGCAGTGCAACTCTCTGCCCCTACTTCTCAAGTGTGTGGTGACCTCTGAGGCTAGTTTCCCTGTCACCTTAAGTTACACCATCAAAGAGGACATCCCTGCTCTTCCCACTCCCTTGTTCCTGTGCTGGCATCCTCAGGTGGCAGTGCTCTGGCACTGTTAACTGGCAGGAGCAGGCATCTCTTTGATGCTGGTGGTGGTCTGGTAAGACATCGGTAGTCTTCAGCCAGCGTTCAGTAATGTATTCTGGCTGGGTCTTCAAGAGTACAGCACTGTTTGTTTCTGTGGAGGAACATGTTCCCTCCTGGAGGGTAGTGTTGGTATTGGGGGCAGGGTTTACCCCACTTAGTGGTTAGGAAGAGCAGAGTTGCCTTGTGTATCTTCCCGACTTTTGTTTGGAAATATTTTGTGCCTTACTACAAGAAAATGCAGCTTATTGCTCTTCTTTATGCCCATCCTGCTAAAAAGTAAGTGTTTGAATAGTGAGGTATGCAGTTCAAATTTGGAGCAGATACACTGACAGACTGGCATCTAGACTTAAACATTGTAGAGCAAATTCTCGTCCAGTACAAGAGTTTTTTACTGGGGAGCATAATGGAATATGGGATGTGGTATGTCCTTCTGTAGTCACCGATAACTCTGCTCTTGAACCTCACCCCCCACCTCTCGCAAGTCTGGCTTGATGGGCGATCTGTCTTGGTAACTATAGATCAGTCTGTTGGAAGGGGGGATGCTAAACTGGCCTGAATGTTTTACTGCTGTTTGAGCTGTAGTGGTGGTGTTGGAGGATACCAAAGGATCTGCTTGGATGAACTGGTCTCCCTCAAGCTGTTGTGTGGATCGTGTGCTGCATTTTACAGTATAATTGGAAGGACTCTGAATTTTATAAGCCAGCTAAAATAGTTGAACCCATGCCTTTGTTTACCAGAGGAAGGATGAGTAATATTTAGGCCTTCAAATAGTTTTCTGCTTTATATTTGTTTGAAACTGCTGGGATTCTTCTGTCTTTATTTGTGGATAGTGTCCATGTTTAGTAATAACTCTTTACTTTGAGTTAGTCTGATGAAAAACACTAAGCTGTATCTGAGCTATAAAGTGTCTGTTTTTCAAGCCCTGTAGATAGCTGCTTCTTTAAAAATGTCTCTGAAATGCTACTTGCCACAAAGTATTTTTTCTCACATTCACTTGTACGTGGGAAAACATTGGCTACATTGCTGTTTTCTTTAGAGCCCGTGGATGAATACGTGGAGCAGTTGTAACCAGGTTTGGACTCTCTCCCCACCTGGTGCCTGGCTCCTTCTATTGCATCACAGCCACAGAATGTTTTTCTTTGTGGCTGTCACTCCCTCCCAGGTGTGCCTGCACATCTGAAACTTGTCATGTTGGGTTTTCTTGGGGGCGGTGAGGTACTTGGCAGTGAGCCTGTGGCACTTCTTGGTGGCTGCAACCTGTTTTCATTGCCACTTTCCCAGGAGCCCTTGGACAACTGCAGTCATCTCACAGATATCTCTAGGCCATGCAGTGGAGAAGGCTTGACGGACTCTGCAGAGTGGTTGACTGCTGTCCTGAGTAATTCAGGTGGCAGATGCTTCGTTGTTGCTCACCTTTAGGAAAGAAGGTGCTGAAAGTAGGCAAAGGGTTCAAATCTCTTGCTCTGATGGCCAAAATCTGCCTGTAGCCCATAGGTGAGGCACTTCTAACTGTGAGAACAGTCTGTGTGGGCCTTGGGGGGTGTGTGTCTGCCTGGGTGTTTGTGATCTCCATCGGAAGCTAGTGAAGGTGTCTGAAGCTAATGAGTCTGCTTAGATAATCCCCCTTCTCTAAATTATGGATAATAATACTTACTTCTGTCACTGGCAAAACCGAAACCCTGAGACGCTTTGTGATTGGCTTTCAGTGAAAACTGGGACTAGTACCAGACCTGAGCATCATATGCATGTCTCCTGAGTATGGCAACTACTGTTATCACACAGATGAATCTCTTAGTTCTCTTGTCCTGTGAAGTTTAAACTACAGAAGGTGTGAAGTTAAACTTGTCCCCTATATTCCGTCACTGGCAAAACCGAAACCCTGAGACGCTTTGTGATTGGCTTTCAGTGAAAACTGGGACTAGTACCAGACCTGAGCATCATATGCATGTCTCCTGAGTATGGCAACTACTGTTATCACACAGATGAATCTCTTAGTTCTCTTGTCCTGTGAAGTTTAAACTACAGAAGGTGTGAAGTTAAACTTGTCCCCTATATTGTTTGGAATAACTGAAAACTCTGCTTTAGTCATTGGCAAAATAAAAGAAACCGAATCCAAGACAAAGCTGTGTCAGCAAGGGGAGATTTAAGTCTGTAAAGCATTTGTCTGAAATCTGTGAAGTGCTGATCTGTTGCAGCTGCTGGCACCTTGCTTGTTCTTGGATGTTAACTACCATTAAACCAAACTAAAACATATATGACATAAGCAAGCCTCTGCTGCTGAATTTCTTCTTGATAAAGCAAATAAGGGGGAGGAGAGAAATCCACAGCATGTGTTTCTTTGTGATAAGACTTAGGCTCTGAGTGAGTTCAGGAGACAAACTTTGAAGGATACCTTGAAGAGACTTTGATATGAGTTGCTACAGAGAGGGACCTTCTGTGTTGTTGTTCCCCCCGCCCCCCCCAAATTCCCTTCCCCCCACCTTAAAAGCCAGCTAAATATTCACATTGTTCCCCTTACACTGAATGTAGTTGTGTGGTCGTGTAACCGCATAAGGAAATGTTTTCCATTGGATCAGTGAGATGATTCAACTCAAATGTACGTACACTCATACTATCCCAAAATCCAGTGCGAGGGAGCGAGCAGGAACGTGCCGACAGGGAGAGAAGCGTCCTGTTGTAGGGAGCTTTTGTGTTTGATTGGGTTAAACATGTTATGAAGTATCGCCCCTTCTTTTGAATCTCTTCAGCTGTGTCTCTTACATGATTGAATTGGAGGGGAGGGGGAAGAGGAAGAGCCCATCTTCATCCAGAACTTCCCCCAGCCTGGCAGTGTTCTGGCCAGAGACATCCCGTGGCCAGATGAGGAACAGTCTGAACCGTGTCCCTTGTTCAGGCCTCCAAGATCCCTCAGTTCTTAAATTATTGCCCTTGGCTGTGGCTGTGCTAAGAAACTGGAAATTGGTGAATTCAGAAACTGAAGTCACCATATGGTTCTTGTACTTTGGATAACTCATTGTTGTGAGGAAATCCTGTGGTGTTTTCCCCAGCAGCCTCAGGAGCGGCTATCATCTAAGCTGGAAAGGGCAAATCATCTGGAGAGAATTTGGACGGCTTTACTTTTCCATCATCCTGTGGCTGTGCCGGGCACTCTGCAAACATTAAAAGAGCATCTGTCTTCTCCAAAGCACTTCTAATCTCATTTGGATTTAGCAATCTCTCTTGCCTATCTGTAGAGATCAGGAACCTGTTGTGCACGTAGGTGCTGTGAAAGCATCAGGAAATAGTTGTTTTCCTGAAGGGCTTAGAGTAATAAAGGAGAGAATCTGAGTGGAATCCATTCAGTTACAGCATACGCACAGCGACAGAATGACTGTCTTATTCCGAGAGTCTTTTATGTCATAGCTTGAAGAGAAGCGAGTCGGTAAAGGAGGAACCAGTGTTAGAGTAGGAGGTGAACAGGAATCATTTAGTTGTTTAGATGTTAAAAATGCAGGGGCACAAGGAGTGGAATTCAGATTCTTGAAATGTTTGTTCTGCCTGTGTCAGTCACTGTTATTGATAGGCAGGTGTGGGCTTGGTTTTAATTGTGCTGTAGCTCATGGTTTGTGCTCCATTATCTCGTTGCCTTACTGATAAAATGAACTAAAGGAAGGAAATTGTATTTTCTAAAGATGGGAGGCTCAAAATACTCTTCTCTCCTCCTTTCCCTATCTCCTGTCAACACTACTGGACAAGCTCTAGATGAGACTGCCTCTGAATTAGTGTGTGTTTACCTGTAGGATTAAAGAGGTGGTGAGGAGCATGCTGGAACAAGTGGGATGTAAACAGAGAACAGAAGAGGAACAGTTACGGATATAAATAAATACCAAAACTCTTCCGAGCCAACAGGGAGTGAATGCAAGTGCTCCTCCATTCACAGGAATCTCCTTTGCTTTTTCAGATCATTGTAAGGAAGCAGATTGCCAGGATTTCCCCCCTGTGGCTGCCTGACTGCTGCTGAGCTACCCCTCCCAGCCCATGTGGCTCTCCCCATGCTCCAAGAGTGCAACTGGTGCCCAACGCAATGTGTGTTTGTCAAACCATGGAAGTGGGCAAGTATGGCAAGAATGCCACTCGATCTGGAGACCGGGGGGTCCTGCTGGAGCCTTTCATTCACCAGGTGGGCGGCCACAGCAGCATGATGCGCTATGACGACCATACTGTCTGCAAGCCCCTCATTACCAGAGAACAGCGCTTCTATGAATCTCTGCCCCCAGAAATGAAGGAGTTCACACCTGAATACAAAGGTGAGGCCTGTTGTCATTCCAGAATGCAATTACATGCTTCAAGAACCTGCCCTCTCATTTTTCCTGCAGCTTCTGATGTGTTGCTGTCTTTTGGCATCATTTTATTTGTTGTTTTTAATTCTCTTCTGCAGACTAGCAATTTGATAGGAGCACTTGCAAAGGAGGAAGTCTCTTTTTGTAGGCATGCAGACTTTAATGTGCTTCTCTTCCTAGAGAGAGTATATGCGGTGTGACAGTTGTAGTCTGAAGCTTAAGGTTATGAATGTGTAACTAAAGTAATTTTACTACCAAGTTATTGTCAATTACAGCCTTGGCCTTATGAAGTTAGATCATATACTAAGCATTTGCACATTCCAGTCCTGTAATTTATTGCTTCCTCATCCCATTTCTTTTATGGACCCGTATCAGAAAGCTGCTGAAGCAGGAAGCATTGCTTTCCCAGCGCTGAGGTGAAGCTTTGTCCCCAGCCGCTTTGAAGGACTGGAATTTTCCAGTGTCTCTATCATTGTAGGAGGTTGGCAGCTCATCTGTATCTTTCAGAAGCTCAATACACTTTCAGCCTTGCGCGTCTGTATTCAGGGTGGTGACACTGGCAGGTAGCCTTTTGGGGGACTCAGCGTTCCCATTGCCTCTGCTTCTTTGTCACCGCGTGGCATTGGGAGGGAGGACGGTGCTTCACAGACAGCTGGGACCACCATCTGTTCAGGGTCTTGCCATTTGATCTGGCTGCAGCCTGAAGGTCTCGAAGCAGTGTCAGCTTACCTACCTGTGTCTGTATGCAGATCATGAGTGAAAGATACAGTCTCCAACAGACGGGTCCTCTCGTACCCTCAAGCCACTCTGGGGCCATACGGTGCTCTAGTGACCCATCAGAAATCCCAGCTGAAGCCGTGTAGTTACTAGAATTGATACGATGTCAGGCTTTCCTTGGGAGATGGGTTTAAAACTGATGAAGCTGATAGTCCAGATGGAGACCTGTCTTCCTGAAGTCAGATACTTCCTGGAAGCCTAAAGGCATAGGACATGCACCTCCACCCCAGTGTGGGATTTCGGCAAGAGTCCTGTGCAGTTTCCCGATAGTCCCAGAAATTGTTCCTACTGGTTTGGGGGAGAGGAATATTGGGGATGATACTTCCTGTCTCAGCATTCGGATGTTACTGTAAGATTGCCCTTTCACAGAGGTATCTTGAGGAGCATGTCCAGGCAGCCAGAACACTTGGAGTGGCATTAATGTAGTGACATGCTGGGAGTCCTGAACTGCGCTGAAGTTGTGTTGAGCTCCCTGAACCTTGTTAGCATTGTCATGTGCAGATAAGGAAAAAGGAAGGACAGTTACATGATGGCCTGCGTCAACTGAGCAGTGCGAGGTTTCCTCGTGTTTGTGAGGAATCATTTGATTCAGTGCATCTGGCATCTGATACTCCTGGCAGCTATTCAATGCTGGTGACAAGCTAATGAAAGATTTTTGTCCTTGCAAGTTAGGAGATAGGCTGATAGCCTCATTATCAGGGCTGGGGGAGTACCAAAGATGAAGATGTCAGCCCTAACTAGAAGTGTCAGCTGTCCTGCTCTGTGGCTGGCCAGCTAGATATATTCAGAGTCTGTGCTGTGAAAGATCTATACCTTCCCTTGGACTATAGTGCTTTTCAGGAGCCTTCAGAAGGTAAAACTGGACAGGACACAAATGGTTCTGCTTGCCTGCACCTGGCTGAGGTAGTTTTACTTCCAGGGCCTCCTGTTTTTATTGCTAGGAAGCCCTGGGACCTTGCAGATCACTTTTCTGCGAGACTGGCTGACTTGTGATAAGAGTGGCAGGTGTCACCTCAGCTTCAGAGCTCAGATGCTGGAGAGCTCCTTTAGCAGAGAAAGCACACTCCTCCTTGGCCAGCAATGTCCTTGTCAACAGCAGGAGCACTTCTGCAGGACATAGATACTTACCCAAATGAACTAGATATGTATTTTGTATGCGTTGCTCCCTTCAACATCTTGGTAGACTGTGCTTTCTCCAGTTCGACGACATTTGCTGCAAGACTGAATGGAAGGAAATAATCACACCCCTCAGCCTACCAGCTGTGCTTGTGTCCTTAATTTCCTGTGGGTGGCAGAGCTTCCCCTGCTGCTGCTGACTGTTCGCTCAGGTAGCGACACAGGGCACGGTTTGGGGGATTTCTCCTCTGTGCTGTGCTAACAACATTTGGGTTGTTGTAGTCTTAAACCTCCTTTCATTGCTCTGGACTTGCTTTGTTGCTCTGTGAGCTACATTTTCCTCTTTCCTGTTGAACATTTGGGTGCTAGTGGTTGTGTATTCCCTCCCCTGGGAAAGAGAACTGACATGTCACTTCTCTCTGGCAGGTGTGGTATCTGTCTGTTTTGAGGGAGACAGTGATGGCTACATTAACCTGGTGGCCTATCCCTATGTGGAGAACGAGGCTCTGGAGCAGGATGATATGCCAGAGAGGGACCAGCCACGACGCAAGCACTCGCGTCGGAGCCTTCACAGATCAAGCAGCAGCACTGAGCACAAGGAGGAAAAACCCGGCCTGGCCAGTGACAGCAGTGAAAGGTAAAAACTTTGAGGGCCCGGTGACAACATGATGAGCAGGAAATCTCTTTTCCCCTTTCAGCTCTGGCGCCCCTTTTGTTGAGAGCATTTTGCACTTCCGTACAGTCGGCAGGCTGTCTTGCACTTGCTAGCCCAGCACACTGTGGCACTGCAAACTGTGTCAGGAGCTTTGCTGCATTCAGGACGAACTCATCCATGTGAAGTGCTTCTGACACAGGATAACCCTTGGCAGTTTGTTGGATGTGGAACCAAAGTGTGTGGAGCAGATTCAAACACTCTTCAGTCCACCTGGTTACTAACTCAGAGGTTTCTTCCAAGGGTACTTTGAATACAGGTCTCTGTATTCTCACACCAGCTGGAGCTCCCTGAGAAACAAATGTTCCTGCTTACTCTATCAATTACAGTACAACCTAGCAGAGATGTTAGACCAGGTCCTTGAGTGTGGGTCCACAGCCCAGGGTATTAGTGAGGATTTGCTGTTAAGAAGGTTTGTATTGGTGTGAGGTGTGCAGCAGGAGAAGGAACAGGAGATAGTTGTGTGCAAGGGAGAGGGTACGACAGTCGTAAGTATCTGAAGAATGCATGGATTCTGACAGACAAGTTTGTTCTGTCTTTATACCAGCAGCATCCAGGAAACGAAGAGTCCCAGGGTGGACTTGCACATCCATTCAGATGTTCCATTTCAGATGTTGGATGGGAACAGCGGTCTGAGCTCTGAAAAGATCAGCTATAACCCCTGGAGCCTGCGCTGTCATAAGCAGCAGCTGAGCCGCATGCGGTCAGAATCCAAGGACCGAAAACTCTACAGTATCCTTTGGGAAGCAGAACTGAGTGTGTCAGTTGCTGCTGCTCTGGCCTTACACGTTTGTGCCTGAGGCAGCTTATTTCCTTCGGCTTTCCCATCGTTCACACAAGCAAAGCTGTATTATATGTTTCTTTTTACTATTCCTTCCTGCTTCCCATACAGTGACACTAATGTCTGACACTGGTGTTCGGAGAAGCCATGTTTCTGGCTAGATTTCATGTTTTCATTCTTTTCTGGTCCTTCTCTTTGTTGGCTTTTGTTTTGAACTGTAGTTTTTCACGTCAGGCTTTGCCCGGCAGCAGATGCAGGTCTACCTTGTTCAGTAATCCCTTGGGAGGGAGCTGTGTTTGTCCTTGTCACCTTTCTTGAGTTTTTTCCAGTTCTACTGTATCCTTCTGGAGACCATGACCAAACGGCACACAATACGGAAGATGCAAGTGAACCAGAGATTTCCACTGGTGTTTAATGCTGTTGTCTCTCCTTTCCCTCATAATTCCTAACATGCTCTTGTTCTAAGTGCTGTCTCATTACCCCAGGATCCCACTCCTGACTGGTAATAGTTGTCTCGAAACATACTGCTCTATGCATTAAAAATCTTTTCCTCCTTATCTTGCGTGTTAACTCTAGAGAATTTTGCCCGCCCGTTTAATGGCCAAGTCAGTCTCATAAGACCCTTGCGGAGTTTTTCACAACTGTTCCTCATGTTTGCAACCTTGAGTAACTTAGTACTACAAGCAAATTTGTCACCTCGCTGTTCGCTCACTTTTCTGGATCACTTGTTGAATGGCATGGATCTCCGCACAAAGACCCTGCTGGTGACTTTGGCCGCAAGACCAGTCAGGCTAGTTTGTAGTTCCCCAGATCTCCGCAAATCAGCGTTGTGGTAGCCCCCCTTCAGTCTCCTGGTGCTAAGGCAGTGTTAAATAAGTTACCCATCTCTTATTTTCTGTTCAACATGCAATCTCTTCTCTTGGCATTTCAGTTTGAGAATTCTCTGAACTCAGAAAAAGAGTTCTGGCTTGGGAATCCCCCACGCTCTTCCCCAGTAAACGAAGCAGCAAAATATTAATCTTATTTCTCTTTTTAGGGGGTCTCTTCACACACCCCCATCCCACCCCCTTCCCCTGTAGCTCCATTTGTACTTTGTCTTTAAACCCTGCAGGCAGTCTGACTGGCTTCTGCAGGTGGTTGAAGATGGATTTGTTATTTTCTGTGCCTTCGGAAATGACTCCTCGTGCTTTTGTCTTCAACTTGCCAGCTTGTGGGTTTTGTTTGTTTCACCTGCTGGAGCGTGACTCTGTTTTCCTCACAGAGAAACCACCTCACTTTTAATAGCTGTATTCTTCGTCATTTTAACTGTGTGGGCTTCCCTTTCCTATTCTCAAACGTGTGCTTTGAGCCTCCAGCTTTTATTTTTAAACAACCTGCATCGCTTGCAGAGAAGTAACTCTTTTTGGCTGTCCTATTCTTTTTAATCACACTTCCTTATTTTTATGAAGTTCCTCTTTCAAAATCAAACGTAGTTGACGATAGATTTTTCTAAATGTTAAACTTCCTTGCAGGTTTAATCTAGCTGTGCTCTGGTTGCCATTTCAGCGTAACATGTTGAACCGTGCCCTGGGGGGCTACTTGGGGCAAACTTCAGGGTTGTTTTTTCCCCTTTGGGACAAGCTGCTGCACCGATTGTCTCGGGTTTGTTCTCAGCGCTGTGCCCTAATGGAGGGTTTGCCCATTGTGTGTGCTGGTAATTGAAGGCTCCCGTTACTGTTCTGCTTCCTGCCTTTGTAGTCTCTCTGGTTTCCCCCCCGTGGGTTTCCCCCCGTGGGTTTCCCCCCGTGGGTTTCCCCCCGTGGGTTTCCCCCCGTGGGTTTCCCCCCGTGGGTTTCCCCCCGTGGGTTTCCCCCCGTGGGTTTCCCCCCGTGGGTTTCCCCCCGTGGGTTTCCCCCCGTGGGTTTCCCCCCGTGGGTTTCCCCCCGTGGGTTTCCCCCCGTGGGTTTCCCCCCGTGGGTTTCCCCCCGTGGGTTTCCCCCCGTGGGTTTCCCCCCGTGGGTTTCCCCCCGTGGGTTTCCCCCCGTGGGTTTCCCCCCGTGTGTCGGGCAGTGTTGCTGTTCTGGGCAGGCCAATAGCAACAGTACTGTGCTATTACTTGAGCCTTGAGTCTTCAGTCCGTGGGGATTGTGTTGTTTATCCATATGGTTAAATTGCTAATTTGATTAGACTTTAAGCTCTCCCTTAATATATCAGCAATTCTTACTGACAGATGGTGTCTTTCCTGACACTAGCATTCTGCTCTTCGGTTCCCCCTGCTGAGTTTCCAGTACACCTGCATGTGATCTCCTTGCTTACTGTTGGCCATTCCACTTTCCAGGCTGACTTCTTCTACCAAGTGTGAAAGCCTGGGTGCCACCGTTAGGTTTTGTACTTTTTTTCCACTTCCCCAAACAGTTCATTCTGTCTGTTCTTTGGGTTCCTATTTGTTTGTCGCCCGACCCTATCTCATGCTGGCCCAAATCCCTGTCTGTGGTGGCCCTGGGGAGCAGTGTCTCTGACGGGTGAGCTCTCCTTGACATGTCTCCCAGAGTTCCTTTTGCTGGAGAACGTGGTGCATCACTTCAAACTTCCCTGCGTACTTGATCTGAAAATGGGGACCAGACAGCACGGAGACGATGCATCTGAGGAGAAGGCTGCTCGGCAGATGAAGAAGTGTGAACAGAGCACTTCCGCCACCTTGGGCGTGCGTGTGTGTGGGATGCAGGTAGGGATCCCCAAGGGCTGCAGGTGCCGCACATTCCCTTTCGCAGCCCCATTAGACCTCCCAGTTACTGTTTCCTACTGTGCATTGAGTTACAGGGTCTTCCACTTCAGGTAGGTACACCAGTGTTCAGGGTACATGCTTTTTGTCTTCGTTTCTAAGCCTAGAACAAAGGAACCTGCTTCTCCCGAAACAGCCCGCTTTATCCAAAGCGGTTTTGTTCACAGACAGTGAGGGGATTTTCTAATAAAATTATTTTTGTGGCTTAGTGTTCAGCTCGAATCACAGTGCCTGGGGAGGGAGGTGTCCCTCTGTCCCAGCATCAGCTGACATTTGCTTCCGTACTGTCCTGGGAGTTCAGAAGTTGCTCTCCTCTTGTGGCTAGGCCCTGTGCCCAAGGATTTGCTGCTGGTGCTGTTGTGCAACAGGCACTCCTTTCCCCACCCACAAAAGGATCTTGTAATCCAGATCTCTGCCCACAGACTCTTGAAGCAATGAGGGCCTCTCATTAATCACGTGCCACATAATAACGGCAATATGTGCCGGCAGCTCCCGCTGCCAGAGGATTGTCTTGAGTTGCTGTAAGACTTGGCTTTTTAAGCCTTGGGGTCTGTTGTGTCATGCTTCTTGGGAACGCCCGGACTGAAGAGCCACCCTTTGGGTGTCCTGGGAGAGAACCAGTGCTTGGGCACCTTGACTGTGCCCATGGGATGCACCCATGAGCTGCTTTGGGATTGAGGGAACAGGCAGAGCTGTTTCCTGCTCCCCCTTGGGCGTGGTGGGGACAGGACGAGTTCCCTCTGCCCTCTCAGTGGAGGACAGCTCAGCGCTCTCTGTGAGTGGCGTTAACGTGTTGCTCCTGCTTGATGTGCATTTCCTTTGGCGTTCTAGGTCTATCAGCTGGACACAGGGCATTACTTATGCAGGAATAAATACTATGGACGTGGTCTTTCCATTGAGGGCTTCCGCAATGCCCTCTACCAGTATCTCCACAACGGCATTGAGCTGCGCAAGGACCTCTTTGAGCCTGTCCTCGCCAAACTGCGAAGCCTGAAGGCAGTTTTGGAGAGACAGGCCTCCTACCGCTTCTACTCCAGCTCCCTTCTCATCATTTACGATGGGAAGGACAGCAGGGCAGGTATGTTTGTGGAGCGCCGGCCGGAGATGCGCCTGAAGCGGGTGGACAGCTCTCTCCCAGAGAGCCTTCAGGATGGCGGCAGCACGGAGCCTGGCTCCTCGGCCCAGCCCAAGGTGGATGTGCGTATGATTGACTTTGCACACAGCACGTTCAAAGGCTTTCGCGATGACCCCACTGTGCATGACGGACCCGACATGGGTTATGTGTTCGGGCTGGAAAGCCTCATCAACATCATGGAACAGATGCGTGAGGAAAACCAGTAGCCCCGGGCTACGGCCTCTTCTTTTTGTCCTGGTGGCAGAAGCAGACAAGACCACCTACTACCACAGGAAAAAGCAGACAACTTTGGTTTTAAACAATTGTATTGCTCCATTGTTTTTAAATGTACTTGGATAGAAGAGCTGAGGGGAGGCAGGATGGAAGAGCTCCTCATGCCGCCCAGATGGTTCTGACCACGCTAGCTCTGCCTTCTGGAGGAGGCTCCGTAGACGCCTGCTGGGTGTTGGGTGTCCCGGTTCTTCGCTCGTCGCGTGTGCGTGCTGGAGGGAGGACCTGGACGTAGGGGAGAGAAAGCAGAAGAGCACAGGGCTCTTTAGGGGGCTGGAGCTGTGGTGTGAGGAGCCTCCTGCCTCAGGAGCCCCCGGGAGAGCCTTTCCTTTGAAATTCTCCTGGGTTATTTGGAAAGGGCACTCGACTAACAGTTGGCAGCGTCTGTGGGGCTGACGGTGAGCAGCACAGGTGCTGGTCCGTGCATTCGGTGTCACTAGCTCTGCCCTGGGTTTTGCTGATTGGGCTTTGCTTTTGATGCTGCCTTTTTTCTGCTGTTTGGGCACTGTGAATAACCAACCCAAACACAGAAATAAAATGACCAAATGCAACCCCTGGCAGAGCTGTGGCCAGGAGGGAATGTCGCACACCTGGAGTTGTGCTCGAGCCTGGGGCCTGCTCGCTCCCCCACGGGGTGGCACGGGCAGGCCCATGTACAGGCAGGCACGGGGCTCTGTGAGAGTAACTCTGCCTTGGACCACTGACCAAGCAAGAACTCGGCTCGTGGGCTAGCAATAGTATCTGTAGCAGTTAACGCAACCCCAGCGGGGCGTTTTGGACCATTTCAACCCTTCCTGTTGTGTAATGTTGGTCCCACAGGTTGTACCGCGAGTATCTCCCTCCTGCCGTCGGGCCCTGGGGGCTGCAGCACGAGGCCGCCCTCTTCCTCCGGCGGGGCCCTCTGCCCTGCAGCCCCTGCTCTTCCGGCAGGTCCGTACATGGGGATGGTGGAAGGGGAGGCCAAGGGTTAGGGCTAACTCCTGTTCTCCCTGGGGGTCTCCAGGGGAGCAGGTGTGGGGGGGCCTGGCTGAGCGGTGAGTGCCGTCGCCTGACTGTTTAGCTTTGCTTCACAGAGTGAAAGAAAAATGATCTGTTTGTGGATGAAACAGCCAGCTGGGATGTGCTCTGCTGCCTGGGCTCCCTCCCAGAGCTGGTGCTTTACCCGTGGCTTCCCTGGATGAGGGCATTAATGTTTGATACTGTGGCCTGGTGGTACCGAACCATACCCTGCTCAGCATCACCCCCTCTGTGTTTCTGTGCTGGGACCCCCAGTTGCTCCTTCCCCGGTGTCACTGACTTGTTCCATGGCGTTACCATTACCCTGACTGGCTGAGAAACTGCCTGGATACCTGCAAGGCCAGGGTTGGGGTTTTTCATTTTTTTTTTTTTTTTTTTTTTTTTTTTACTTCAGGAAAGCTTGTTTGGGGAATACTCGCATGTAGCATGTGTGCCGACTCTGTGTGTGCACGGTCTGCTTGGAAAGTGTTGGTGCTCGGCTGGCGGCCGGCCGTAGCTGCCGCCACGGGTGCAGGTCTGCGGCACTGAGTGTGGAAGGGGGCAGGGGAAGTGCTGGCTTCTGTCCCAAATCGCACCTCTCTCTCTCTCTGCCTGTCTCCCAGCTACTCAAAAGCTTGCCCAAGCCACTGCTCCCCTCCAGCTCTCTGGACGAGGACCTTCATTCACGCTGCTCTCCCCTGCCCTGGGTTACTACTTCATCGCTTCTGCGACTCGCTGCCCCGCCAGGCAGGGCTCACGGGATTTTCAGGGAACAGGTTTGCAGGAGGGAGGGAGGCTTGTTAGAGCAGCTGGCGTAGCGGGCGGTCTGGGTACCGAGAACGGCCGCGTTTCCCTCACAGCGTGTTTTGTGCATGTCCTTGTCCCCGGTGGGCTGCGCTCGGGCAGCCCCAGGGCCGTTCCTCCTGGGGGAGCACCTCTGCATCCCCCCAGCCCCGACTCCTGCCGTTCCCCTTCCTCGCTAGGCCAGGCACGGGCAGGGGCGAGGTGCGATTGATGGGGTGCGCTGCCTGTGCCCCGTGGGAGCTGCCTCTCCCCTTCCATTTGGATCACCGCGGTGGGACTCCACAGCTTGTACATAGCCTCAACACCCCCCCACCCCCCCTCTGTTTTTACATGAATAATCACCCTGTTTGTGCTTCACAGAACACCAAAAACCATTAAAGGATCTGTTTTTGTCCGTGGTGTGCCGTGCCTGCCTTTCCCCGCCGGCCGGGGCCGGGGCTGGGTGGGGAGGCAGAGCGGGGCAGGACCCGTGTGCAGGTGGCTTAAGCTCCTGCACTATCCCGTGCGGGGTACAGCCG